TTACTTTTTGATAAATAATTCGTTCTTATTGCGAAATAGGAGCACTATTTATCAATCTGTAATAAAAGATGTGAGGAAATTCTGTCTTTTTTAGAGACAAAAATTTTTGAGGCGAAATATCCAAAAAGAAGATTGTAAAAAAAAGTAATCCGCCTCAACAATATAGAACTTATCAACAAGGAACATTTACATTGCATCAATTTGCTGTATTGGTCGATCCGAATCAAATGAAACTAAAAGAGCTCAGAAGGGAGTTTTCAAAAGGCCTGATGATGCGCAAAAGCCCCAATCGCTCCGGAAACAGAACAGTACTGTACAAAACTGTACTTACTTGGGCCTTCGGTTTTTGCTGGTATGAGATCGGTTGTCGTGGCCCTGCACGCTCATCGGTTGCCTGGTTTGAGGCATGGGGGGCGTGGCGTGTCTATAAACAGCCGGCTGGCCCCGCCCTACTAGGCGTGGATCTGCTAAATGAAACGCGCCCACTGGAAAACAGCCGCCCAGTCGAAAAACGCCCACCACTTACCTTGTACTAGATAAGGCATCGAGAACCCGTGGCAAACGTTGGGGGGTGGATAGGTGAACCTCTGCCGTTCGAAGGGCGACAGTTCAATGGCCGGGGTGGGGGAGCGGCTGCTCTTGGCAGTGCCCGGCGTGGGCCCTCTATCCCCACTCATCTAGAGCAGATCACACATGACCCTATCGGCTCTGAGGAGCAAAAATCGCCGCTTACCTGCCGGAAAAACCTGGGTGGCATGGAGTTGAACACATAATGAGGCGCGGGCGGAGTGCTCGGTGGTGGAGTTCGGAACTGCCCATTGGCCGGCGCAGGCGCAACAGCAGGACAGTACGCAGACGCCACCACAGTAGTAGCCGGGGAGCTCGTTCCAGTACTACTTTGGCTGGAGCCCATCAGCACTGGCCGTTTGCTGAAATTCAACTGCGGCTTTGGCATGGAGCCACGCCTGGGGTCAAACGACTGTGGATCTGCCAAAAAAGCCGTATAGTCGAGTAAAACAAAAACGAGCACTATACGCACATTTGCCAACAGGCACAAAACCTCTGGGGCCGCCAGGCGGCGCAGGCCCCAAACTCATCTGCTGCATGTTCTGCGCCAATTGCACAAACCCGTTGTTTTCAAAGGGCGTGGTCGACACGGAGGAGGCGCCACTGTTGGGAGTGGGGGTTGCGTGTCCATAACCCGCCATCCCTTGCGCAGAGAAGCCTACCGGATCATTAGATAATTTTTTTGGTTACTTTCCGCAGGACTTGATACGACATAAAAAGTCGATTTTTGCACGCTCTAGGTGACATGCGTCTAGGTATACGGCACTTCTTGTCAATTCTATCGATTGCGGCGATTCGAACCTAGCGGTTTGTTATGATTTAACACGATTTAAGGTTAGGTGATTTTTTCCCGGTATTTTGTTGTAACCGTAAACTCTTTGGATTTTATTAATATA